AGAGGGAGAAAAGAGCAAGAAGAAGAAGAGGAGGAGGAGGAGGAGGAGAAAAGAGGAGGAGGAGGAGGAGAAAACAACAGGAGGAGGGGGGGGGTCGGTTCTTCGATGTGCAGCTATGGGTGCGGGGGGTCGGTTCTCCCAACAACACAATAAGAAGAAGAAGAAGAAGAAGAAGAAGAAGAAGAAGAAATAAGAAGAAGAAATAATAATAATAATAATAAGAATAAGAATAAGCATAAGAATAAGAAGAAGAAGAAGAAGAAGAAGAAGAAGAAGAAGAAGAAGAACGTACGTAAAAAAAAAACAACAACGAACGTACTCACCGCCGTCGATGGAGCAAGGGGGCAAGTTTTTGGACGTGAAGCGATGGCTGCGGGGGGGGCGGTGCTTCCACGCGCAGCGATGGCCGCAGGGGGGCAGCTGCATGAACGCGCGGCGTCAACGTCGAACAGCACGACGTCGCTACACGACCCGACGTCGAAGGCCTACGGGGAGTGGGGAGTACGCTTACGGGGACTGACGACTACACCTACGGGGAGTGGGGAGTACACCTACAGGGACTGACGACTACACCTACGGGGAGTGAGGACAACAGGGAGTGGGGACACTACTTGGGAGCGATTTCAAACGCGGCCGATTGCGGCCGCCGATCTCCCAGATCGGCGGCCGCAATCGGCTGCGTTTGAACTTCGAAGCTCAAAAAAACGGGGCCCGTCCGACCCCGCAAATTCAAGTAAGCGCGCGGGGATTTGTCGGCGCGTTTACATCATATTGCGGGGTCCGACCGGCCCCGGCTCTTCGTTTCAGTGGTGGTGGCGGCCTGTGGCCAAGGAGGCAGGCGAACGGGAAAAAAAAACAACCGAAATCGACCCCCAGCGAAATGCGTTGGGGCCAACCGGGTGCCTGCCAGGCCGGTCTGCCGGCCGGTCCGACCGGCAGGGACCCGATCGTCCGAGGGGCCCCCGGTCCATCCGGGGACCAGGCCTGTCGAGAAGACTAATGTAGCGGATCGATTGTGCGTTCCCAACCGTGAAAAGATCCGAAGTCTGATCTTGGGAGAATGCCATGATACAGAGGGACATTTTGGGTGGCAAAAGACATTAGCCCACCTCATGAGTGTGCATACTTCGCCTGGCATGAAGGCTGACTGCATAGAGTATGTACGCAGTTGTAACGTGTGCCAGCGAAATAAAACCACTACGCGAGCCCCTCTTGGTCTTCTCAAACCCTTGCCTATTCCCGATGGGCCTGGAGACTCTGTATCCATTGACTTCATGGATGCTGGGGTCAGGAGTAGGCATGGCAAGAGCCAAGTCATGGTGATAGTTGATAGATTTAGTAAGTATGCAGTATTTGTTCCTTTGCCTTCTGAGGCACGTACAGATTTAGTGATACAGAAATTCTTCCATCATTGGGTCAGTGACCATGGGCTACCGCTGTCTATAGTTATCGACAGAGATACCTGGTTCACTAGTCAGAACTGGCAGGAACTAATGAGAGTGTATGGC